AAGAGTTCGGCTCCGTCAAGGTTTTGGCTCCACCAAGGTTTTGGCTCCATCAGAGGGTTTTGACCATCGAAGTTTGGCTCCATCGAAGTTTGGCTCCATCGAAGTTTTAGCTTCACCAAGGTTTTCACCAAGGTTTTGGCTCCACTCCACTTTTGGCTCCACCAAGGTTTCGGCTCCATTGGGGTTTCGGCTCCATTGGGGTTTCGGCTCCATTGGGGTTTCGGCTCCATTGGGGTTTCGGCTCCATCGGGGTTTGGCTCCATGAAAGTTTTAGCTCCATCAAAGTTTTGGCTCCATCAAAGTTTTGGCTCCATCAAAATTTTTGGCTCCATCAAAGTTTTGGCTCCATCAAAATTTTTGGCTCCATCAAAGTTTTGGCTCCACCAAGGTTTCGACTCCATTGGGGTTTTGGCTCCATTGGGGTTTCGGCTCCATCGGGGTTTGGCTCCATGAAAGTTTTGGCTCCATGAAAGTTTTGGCTCCATCAAAGTTTTTGGCTCCATCAAAGTTTTTGGCTCCACCAAACTTTGCTCCATCAAGGTTTCAGCTCCACCAAACCCTCCCGACAAGGAGCCGTGATGAGATTTCCCCCCCCCTTGGGACCTTCTGCGTCCGAACTGACCTCATGGATAGAGACCACCAGTCCTTACGACACAGGGGCCGCCCCGTACAGCTGAGATGCATCCTCCCATGAAGGCTGTGGAGACCCTCTCGCTGAGGGAAGGACCATCCCCTGCCTCAGGAGAAGACGTAGAGCTCTAGCGCGCATCGTGCCATTCCTTCATGCCCGTGGAGTGGCCCCTTGCGCCCCTGGGGTCTGCCAACCAGGTCTTCCCGACAGCTCCAAAACTGGGTGATCTCGCCCCATGCGCCTGCCACCACCACCCAGGACTTGGGGGACACCTCACCTTGATGGCCGTCACCCAGGACTTTGAGGACTTGGTGGCTCCGAAGGCTTGGAGAGCCTGGAGAACCCACCTGGACTTTATTTCTCCTGCCCATCCTGGAGGATCTCCAGGTTTTTTGGTGGAACACCGTCAGGAAGAAATCAGACGTGCCCCACACGTCTTGGGGTCGAGCACCAGCCAAAAAAAAAACCAAACCCCACTGAGCTCCTTCTCCCTGCCCAATTTTGGGGTGATCTGTGGGGTGCTGCCGCCTGACACTCACGACCATCAAGCCGGGGAAGGTGTCGGCTGCTTTCCCCATCCTTGACGGGAAAGCTGGAGCTCCTCTTCCCACCCCAAAACGGGCTCACGTATGGACCCGTTGGTGACGGATGAGGGATGAGCTCTCACCGAAGCTCTTCCCGCAGCTCAAGCAGGTGAAGGGCTTCTCCCCCGTGTGGGTCCTCCGGTGCCGGTGGAGATGCGAGAGGCGTCCAAAACACTTCCCGCACTGGGGGCACCCGTAGGGCTTCTCCCCGGTGTGGATCCGCTGGTGGGTGATGAGGTTGGAGCTATCGTTGAAGCTCTTCCCGCACTCGGGGCAAGCGTAGGGCTTCTCCCCCTTGTGGGTCCTCTGATGGGAGAGGAGGTGGGAATGGAGGCTGAAGGTCTTCCCGCACTCGGCGCAACCGTAGGGTCTCTCCCCGGTGTGGATCCGGTGGTGCTTGGTCAGGTCCGAGCTCTGGCTGAAGATCTTCCCGCAGTCGGCGCAGGCGTAGGGCTTGTCCCCGGTGTGGGTCTTCTGGTGGATGAGGAGGACGGACCTATAGCTGAAGCTCTTCCCACACTCGGGACACCCAAAGGGCCTCTCTCCAGTGTGGACCCGCTGGTGGATGAGGAGGTTGGACCTCTGGCTGAAGGTCTTCCCGCAGTCAGGACACTTGTAGGGTCGCTCGTGGGTGTGGGTACGTTGGTGGGCGATGAGGTGGGAGCTGCGCCCGAAGCTCTTCCCGCACTGGGGACACTTGTAGGGCTTCTCGCCGGCGCGGACGTGCCGGTGGGCGGCCGGGGAGGATCCACAGGGAAAACTTCTCCCGCCCTCCCCGCAGACGTCGGCATCTCCTGCGCTGGGACCCCCTGTCCGCGCGCTGTCCCCCGTCCCACCACCCCTCGTCCCACCACCCCTCGTCCCCTTCTCCACCCATTTCCCAGCCCCACGTTGTCCCATCCCGGATCTTCTTCGGCTCGTCTCCATCCTCTCACCACCACCATCCTCCTCGCCGTCCACGGTCCCGTCACCTGCAAGGACAGACGTGCTGATACGGGATCCCAAAGCGTCCCACCAAGCCCCCGGCACGTCCCCAACGGATGGAGGTTTGGAGCCGAGACCCGGAGACGACCGCTCCGACCATCCAGCTAGAGCCA